ATATTATCCATTGGATCAAACGCCTCCTCACTACCTCCTTAAACAGAGGCATTGATATCTTCTTCATATTTATATTTTGGATACCGGCTCATCGAGGTATTCCTGGCAATGAAATTACTGATAAGGCTGCCAAGGAAGCCACTCTTGAAGGCGGTAGAGGCAATTTTAGGCTTCCATCCTCTAACCTGATTTTAAGGACCAATAGAGTCTCTAACTCTCTTCAATAGATACTTCGATAACGCTGGTCCACAAGATCCACTGGTCAACACTACGCTTCGCTATACTCTACCAAAACCTGTAAGGCTCTCAACTGACAAGAAATTGTTCTGATCAACAGGCTTCAAGCCAATCATTACAACTTAAATCATAGTCTCTTTAGGAAAAATATGGTTGACTCTCTGGCTTGCTCTTGTGTTGATCCTACCAATCATGTGATATTTTACTGTTCATTATCCCGTGGCTGATTTGCTCCTCTCTGCAAATTCCTTAAGAAAACTTTTCCTCATAACTCTACTAACATCTTTCCTATGCTTAAGGATCCCCAAGTTAAAAAATGTGCAGACTTTTCCTCTCCTTCTTTAAATCTCTACAATTATTGACTATTAACTTTCCTCCTCCCCCCTCTTTCCGTTTACTCTCCCCCTCTGTTCTCATGTGGTGCCATCTGTCACTGCGGCCGGAGCTTGAAGGGCTGAAGGGTTTTTTTTTAGGAGAGGAGGGGGAGTAAGCGCTGATGTTCTTTCTGCTTATAATTACTTTTCACTCGTGCGGTTTGCACAATTGTCTTTCCTGTGGAAGGTTGGAAGGATCTTGGAAACGACTGGCCAAGTTTACCTCGATAACGAGGATCCGGGCTACTAATATTCGAAGAAGAAGAAGAATAGGCTAAATATCCTGTTTAGGGGAGCCTCTTCCAATGACCTTGAACTAGATATATGTTATCAAGGTCATGACCTTCAGTAACCTCCAACAGATTTTAACCGTTGCTTGTTACTTGTTAAAAAGTTACAATATTAAGAAGGAAAGTTTAAAAATTGTCTTTTTATATTATATTTTTTATATTTTGTTCTATGTAAAACAAAAAATTTGCTACTTTAAAATATATTTTACGACTGTCCATGCGAAACAACTCTAACCCCAGCTCCCCACCTGCTATGGAGCGCACGACTTTTCACGCAAAACGTAGAAAGTCATACGTCTCTATGCGTTACTATATAAAAATAAAAATTATATATATATAAGAAAATAATGTTTTCAAAAAAAATTTTTGTTTTTAAAGCAGGAAATCTATTTTAAAGCAGAGAATTTTGTTCTATAGAATACAATAAAAAATCTTTTTTTTAACTTTTCTTCTTAATAATTTTTTAATAAATAACGAGCGACAACTAAAACTTGTTGAAGGTTATTCAGGGTCATGACCTTGAACATATTAAGAGGAGGCTTCCCTAAACAGGATATTTATCTATAAAATTCCACGTTACAATATTTTGTTAATCACAAGTTGAAAATTAATAATAGCTAAATTATTTTTTAATTTTTAATAATTCCGTAAAAAATAAAGTTTTAATTTTACAAAGCACTAAGTTGGAAGGCAGTTATTTTAGATTCAATTGATATTTATGTTCATTTTGACAAACGTCCGTATTTATTCCTCATCACTATCATTATTAATGGATAAACTTCTTCTGAACAGATTAGTTAGAATTTCGGCAAGCCTTATTATTTTTTATTGATATCGAGTATGATAAATAATATATCACAGCGGCAATATGAAAACAACATCCAATTATGCGTCTACCATTAGGGCAATCACATAGGATCTACCGAAATTCTGACTAATCTGTTCACTACAAAAGAAATTTATCTTGTAATTAATGACAATAGCAATGAGACTAAATACCGACCAAAATTAGTATAAATATCAATTAAATCTGCCTTTCAACCCAATGATTTAAAATAAAACCTTATGTTATGGAATAATAAAAAATAAAAAAATAATTAGCTATCATTAATTTTCAACTTGTAAAAACATTTCAACTTACAAAACATTTCAATATGGTTAACAATAATAGACAAGAAAAGCTACAAGTAGGAACAATAACTTTAATTTTCAAAAAATAATGATTAACATATTAAACAAACTACCGACATTTCAACACCGATCGGATCATTTACAGTAAGTCAAGTAAGAGCGTGGTCGAGTTCATGTTATTAGCCTTGAGATAGGTTCGAATAGTTTCATACGATATATCTAAACCTTTCTACTTCAATTTTGCTTGTCCTTGATGCAATGTTAAGTCAGGATTCCGCGAAAACAGATTCACTATTTTTTTATCGTCTTTTTTGTCCACTTTGCATATCGAGCCACGTTCCGTAAATCATCGACATTTTTTGCCACATTATATCGCTGCACTCACTTCTGTACGAATGATTTCGACTTTTTCATATATTTAGCAGCCGCTAATTGTTGACATTTTTGGACCTTTCGGGTGAGTGCAGAGAAACACAACGTGAGGAACACGCTTCAAAGCATGATGCGTATTTGGTACTCATGGCGCTTAATGTGATTTCTTAATGACAATATTGTGTAATATTTCTCTTAAGAAAGTTCAATGACAACTGAATCTTCCTTGATAATGCATCAAAGATAAAGGTGCCCTCTATGGATTCATGATAGATTTAGGGCGATATCTTTTATTAGCTTTGAGTAAGGCCGACCACGCTCTTACTTGACTTACTGTAGGTCATTGTTGCATTAAAATTGAAATTATAACTTAAAATTAGTTATACGTACTTTATAATAAGAAAAATATAAAATAGAAAAAATACATAAAATTATCATATTCGAAAGTCCATGTGTTTTGTGATTCATAGATTCATACAAAGACTGAAAACCACTCAGCAGGATACTCAATAATTATTGCGGATGACTAAAATTTGCGTCATATAATTAGATATGTACCATATTCGTAGACAAATGTGTACATATCTAATGATATGACGAAAATTTCAGGCTGTAGTCTCGTTACAAATGCTTTGAAGCGTTTAATGGACCAATTAGAAAGAATTTTACAAACTGACAAATTAAAAAACGCTTCAAAGCGTTTGTAGCATCGCGTTGATCCTTAGTCATCCACAATAATTATTGAATGTCCTGCTAAGTGGATTTCGGTCTTTGTATGAATATATGTTTTTAATAAATATGAGTAATACAAATTTATATAAAGAAAAAGTCAAATAGTAAAACACAGTCAAGATTTAACAGTCAAATGAAATAAAAAGAAGCAATAGTGCGATATATGTCAAGAGACGTTGTAACATAAAATAATGACTGTGAGAAACGAAATAATTTCAATATGGGATTTTATAGATAAATAAAAGACATTAGAGATTGATAAAAACTGTTTGTATCATTTTTTCAAAAAATTAACTAGAATGTAAATTTAATTTTTTTTAATGTAGCCCAACTTTTAAAAAATTAAAAAAAAATTTTGTACGTTGAACAAAGGTTCACGTGCAATTTTTTTTTAAGTGATAGATCAATGTAATCAAAATGAAAACAATGTTTAAAAAGTATTTTCATTTTTGTAGAATCGAAATTTATACCAAAAAAGAATAAAAAAGTATCCTCATTAATATCTAGGTGTAATTGATTTTTAGAATTTTATTTGAATTTTTACTAATTGTAAGCTAAAATAAAAAAATGATTAAAAAATCATTTTTTCGCTCTAACCTAATCACGTCTCCATATAGAAGATTTTACATATATAAAATTTAATATGTAAACGTCTTTTTATAAAAATTACTTTAGAAAAAAAGATCAATTCAGCCGTGGGGGCATTTTCACCACACTTATTCCGCTAGGTCCTTTTAATCGTTTTATATTTTTTAAATATATTTATAACTTCTACATAAAGCTTCTGTGGTATATAATGTACATATATGTATATAATATTTTTTATTCGAATACAGTACACAGAATATATATATACATGGTTTGTCCGGAAAGTAATAGGACTGATTTTCTTCCGCCGCGACTGTACTTCGGAGCGTGCTCGCACCGACTGGATTCGGTAAAGGGCGTTCCTAGCTAACGAACGAGCGGCTGATCAGTTGTCTCCGAGCACCTGGAGAGTCAGGACAGGCATTTTCGCGCGACGTGTTTCTGTGAGTGGTATAAGCCGAAAATGCAGCGTTCGTTAGAGCAGAGGTACGCGATTAAATTCTGTGTGAAACTCGGTAAATCTGCGACAGAGACGTTTGATATGATCAAGCAGGCTTACCCAGATGTTGCTTTAGCAAGAAGTGGTGTGTTTCGGTGGCACCAGGCCTTTTTGGAGGGCCGGGAAGAGGTCGCCGATGAAGACCGTGCTGGAAGACCTTCGACTTCGACAAACACCGACAATGTGACTCGTGTGCACAAA